ATTCAGTCACCCACCCACGAGGGTGTCATGCGGCACAAGGCCTTTTTTTAATGTGGGCATTCCTGAGCCATTAGGCTCAGCCAAAAAATAGCCCATTTGAACCCGTATAAACGGGTTCAGGGCCGAGTTTTAACCTCCCCGAAGGAGACTTCGCCCTTCGGCGTAGCCTCCTTCGGGTTCCTCTCCGTCCGGAGACAGAGAGTTGAACCGATCAGTCTCTCAGAAAGTATCTGGAGTTCTGAGATATTCAGTCACCCACCCACGAGGGTGTCATGCGGCACAAGGCCTTTTTTTTAATGTGGGCATTCCCGAGCCATTAGGCTCAGCCAAAAAATAGCCCATTTGAACCCGTATAAACGGGTTCAGGGCCGATTTAACCTCCCCTGAAGGAGACTTCGCCCTTCGGCGTAGCCTCCTTCGGGTTCCTCTCCGTCCGGAGACAGAGAGTTGAACCGATCAGTCTCTCAAAAAGTATCTGGAGTGCTGAGATATTCAGTCACCCACCCACGAGGGTGTCATGCGGCACAAGGCCTTTTTTTAATGTGGGCATTCCCGAGCCATTAGGCTCAGCCAAAAAATAGCCCATTTGAACCCGTATAAACGGGTTCAGGGCCGATTTAACCTCCCCTGAAGGAGACTTCGCCCTTCGGCGTAGCCTCCTTCGGGTTCCTCTCCGTCCGGAGACAGAGAGTTGAACCGATCAGTCTCTCAGAAAGTATCTGGAGTGACTGAGATATTCAGTCACCCACCCACGAGGGTGTCATGCGGCACAAGGCCTTTTTTAATGTGGGCATTCCCGAGCCATTAGGCTCAGCCAAAAAAAAGCCCATTTGAACCCGTATAAACGGGTTCAGGGCCGGTTTAATGCTCCCGAAGGAGACTTCGCCCTTCGGCGTAGCCTCCTTCGGGTTCCTCTCCGTCCGGAGACAGAGAGTTGAACCGATCAGTCGCTCAGAAAGTATCTGGAGTTCTGAGATATTCAGTCACCCACCCACGAGGGTGTCATGCGGCACAAGGCCTTTTTTAATGTGGGCATTCCCGAGCCATTAGGCTCAGCCAAAAAATATTCCATTTGAACCCGTATAAACGGGTTCAGGGCCGGTTTTACCTCCCCGAAGGAGACTTCGCCCTTCGGCGTAGCCTCCTTTCGGGTTCCTCCTCCGTCCGGAGACAGAGAGTTGAAACCGATCAGTCGCTCAGAAAGTATCTGGAGTTCTGAGATATTCAGTCACCCACCCACGAGGGTGTCATGCGGCACAAGGCCTTTTTTTTAATGTGGGCATTCCCGAGCCATTAGGCTCAGCCAAAAAAAAAGAGAAAATTTGAACCCGTATAAACGGGTTCAGGGCCGGTTTTTTTTCCCTTGATTTGATTCCGCCCTTCGGCGTAGCCTCCTTCGGGTTCCTCTCCGTCCGGAGACAGAGAGTTGAACCGATCAGTCGCTCAAATGTATCTGGAGTTCTGAGATATTCAGTCACCCACCCACGAGGGTGTTACTGTCACAAGGCCTTTTTTATTTTTATTGGGCATTCCCGATTATTAGGCTCATAATTTTAAAATAGCCCATTTGAACCCGTATAAACGGGTTCAGGGCCAGAGTTTATACCTCCCCGAAGGAGACTTCGCCCTTCGGCGTAGCTCATGTTTCCTTCTTTTTAAGTCCAGACAGAGAGTTGAACCGAAAGTCGCTCAAAAGTGACTGAAATATCTGATATTCAGTTATCCCATTTCTCAACCATTTGCGGCACAAGGCCAACGAATGTGGGCATTCCCGGTTTAAGGCCAAAAAATTTTTGAACCCGTATAAACAAAGTTCATTCCCGCATTTTAATTTCCCGAAGGAGACTTTGATATTCAGTTAAAAAAAGCATTTCATTTGAACAAGATTGAGAGATGAAAAGTCCAGTTACAGGGCAAATTGAAATGATTTTTTAGTTTGAATTTTTTGTTTTGCCCAAGGCCTTTTTATTGTTTTTCCTCCCATTTTTTCCGTCCGTCCCGAAAAATTTTTTAGTTTAACCCGAAATAGTTCGCCCTTCAGAATAGTATCTAAGAATTCTGAGAATCTCAAAAGAACGCTAATTTGAAAACCCACCCCAGGGGTGTCATGCGGCACAAAGCCTTTTTTAAAACGGTGTTTATATTCCAGCCATTAGGCTCAGCCAAAAAATTTTTGAACCCGTATAAACGGGTTCAGGGCCGGATTTACCTCCCCGAAGGAAAATTTTTTTTAGCCTCCTTCGGGTTCCTATTTTGGAGACATTTGTAAAAAGAACCGAAAGTCGCTTTTTTAAATCTGGAGTTCTGAATAATTATTTTTTTTATAAATTTATATAAGTTTTGTTTTAGTTTTAATTTTTTTTATCCGTATAAACTTTGTTCTTTCTTCACGGATTTTGCCCCGATTATTTTAAAATTACGTCAAAAACCGATTTTTCATTTAGGTTTCAAATTTTTTACTGTCTATGAAAAAAAATTTATTTTTGTTTTTAAAATTTTCTTTTTTATTTTTTTTCGTCCGGGAAAAGAGAAAATTCAAGACCTATGTAATAGGCACTGAAGAAATTGAATTGAGAAAAACCGTTTGATTTCTGAAATGTTCAAAATCGGCGATATATTATTTCAACCAGTATATTTTGATAAGAACACATTTTTTAAACAAATCTTCTCCTTAATTTATTTAATTGTTAAAATTTTTTATCGCTCCTATATATATATATATATGTTTTTAAACAGAGTGTTTTGGCCCGGTATTTTTAAATTTAAAAGTTTTTTTTTTTCAAAAAAATATTTTTGTTTTTTACCATAAAAGATATTTTTGCATATCCAGGAATTTATTTGAAAAAAAACCGTTTTCAATGAAATGGATGACACATTTATCCTCACATATTTATTTATTGCCATTCTGAATTAAATATATACATATAAATTAAATTCTTTTAACGAAAAATAAATTCATAAAAAATCAATGATTATATTTTTTTTTTTCCATGTCCTTTAGTATAATGTCCGCTCCTTGGTTTGATTTCAGAAAAAGTTTTTTAATGAAACAAAAAAAATATTTTAATGCACAAAAAAAAATCGAATTTTTTGATTATGGTTCAAAATTTATATTTATATAAATTATCATGCTTAATTTTTGATTTCT